GGAAAGAGAGAAGTTTGACAATTAAGAACTGTAAAAACTGTCATACATAATACTAAATCTTACTCATTACAATGCTTCAAAGTCTAAGCAATTAAAAAAAACATCAAACCAATTTAAATAAGAAAACAACTTAAGGACAATCAGAAATTCAGTTGCAAAATCCTGAAGTTAGTCTTACAGACAAAGCAATTGTAACATCAGTCCACTTCACGTCACGTCACATCACTTCACGTCATATAAGTATATTTACTTTCAGATTTGTACTCTGTGTTTGTGAATTCAAAAGTATGCTTTCCACAATGTTTGCATATTCTAGTTCTTAGCTGAACTAGCATCACATTGTGCTGTTTTATATAATGCAGAGGAAATATGAACAACAGTTTCAGTCTCTGATTGGAAATGTACCACATCGCAATACAATTAAGTGGTAGATGACATACCTACTATGAATTCTGGATTTTAGGTATTAATTTTGCTAAATTGCGTTCTGGTATAAGGAAAAAATAACTAACAAGTTCCAATGAATTAGTATTCATTCACAGGGACACCTTCTGTTCAATCAGCACAATAAACTGGTTTCCAAGCTAAAGTAAGTCCATACTGTTTTATTTCATTAGTACACAAAACATGCGGAGTACTGCTAAAAAGTTCTTTTTTTTTTTTTTGTGAAAGGTCATGTAAAACTTATTAGAGCCACTGGAGGGAGCAAACAGACCAGAAATAGGAAAAAAAAGACCGTATACAATTAATTTTCTCCTGTAGCCCAACTAACCCTGCTTGTGTGGCTCTAGATCAGACCCAAGCAAAGAGGTACAGTTTTTTATCTTAGAAGAGCCTTTGTGGGAACAAGGAGAAAGGTTTGAGGTGCCAGTGAAATATACTGTGGTTTGATGTAAAGGAGCTGTGAGGGACTGGAGGAGAGGAAGAAAAAAAAAGTACTCTTCCCCAAACTCTGATTCTTCCAAGAGGAGAAGACTAGATACATACACGTTGCAGCTGAGCAGTCTGGCACAGACTTAGACAGAGACAACTCTTAGATTTCAAAGTATGAACAGTGGGTTTACATGTAATGCTCATGTGATATCACCAGGACAGGAAATATGGCTCTATGGTACATCTGTTAAGAAGTTTTCCAAGGTATACTGGAAAATGCCAATCCATCAAATACAAAAGCTTTCATATTCATTTCAACATAAATTTACCTTAAAAAGAGTTTATACCTTGTCAGAACAGTGTTAAGAAAAATCCAAGTCTCAGTGCAATGGTTTGAGGTCTACTATATATATATATATATATATATATTTTTAAGGAAATTCCAAGGGTCCTTCCCCTCTTTGCTTCCAATCCCTGGAGACTCTCATTACTAAGCCACCACTCAATTGGTGAGTACTAGACAAGACATTTAGGCTAGGGGAAGAAATTACACATAAGCATAAGGAATCAGAAACCGGTTCAAATCTGTAACACAACACAGATTTGACAACACAGGGACAGACATTACACATAAACTGGTTTAAGTGATCAGAAACTGGTTTAAAACTGTAACAGAACAGATGTTCAGTGCACATAAACCAGTTTGAAAATGGCTGAAACCAGTTTGAGGTAAACCTAGTTGAATGTAGTATCAGACTTAACTCATTTGGGTCAAACCAGTTTATGCCATGTCTGTCCCAGACCCCTGGCGGGTTTAAGATAAACCAGACTCCCCCAGCATACCAACATGCTCTCTAGGCTGGGTAGGGCTCTCTGCTCCATAGCAGGGCTGGTCCCTCCCCTCTGCTCCCTGGCTGGAGCTCCAGCAGAGACTTGCAGGCACAGAGCATCTGCCTGGCTTTTTCCTTCCCTACCCCGCCTCCCCCGCACCTTGCTGCTTAAGCAGAGATCCCTTTCTCCTCTTTCCTACAGCACAGACTGTAGCCAGCATGTGGTCTGCTAGCTAATGCTGTGTAAGGCAGATAAGGCTTTCTGGAGGGAATCAACAGCTGAGATTGGTAATGTCCCTCCATTCCTTCCTTTGGAGAAAGTTGTTTAAGAAGAGCTTAAACTAATGAGTGAGGCTTTGTTTTCTAATAGGGTGTTAAATGCTGGTAACAGAGTTGATAAATTCTCTGTTATCAAGGGGGAGGCACCCCTCCCTAATCATAGCATCCTGCCATGGCCTGGCCCCCCCTGCTCCCCCTTCCCTGGCTCTATGGAAGGGAAGGGAGGGCTGCACTAGTGCCCCTTGACTTCTAGCCAGAGCCACTGCAGGCTTGTGCCTGCATTTCTGGGATGTCTGTCTGGTTACAAAACTGATGTAGCCTAAAAAGGTTAGACTAACCTGCAAAGATTGAATCAATTCAGGCTCAGGCTTTTTGAATGTCCCTAGCCCAGAATTTCAGTGTACAAAAACCACTTCCAAAATGGCTGAAACTGGTTTAAGATGAGTCTGATGCTACATCGTCCAGGTTTAACTGTTTTAGGTTAAATCAGCTTATTGAACTTCTGTCCCAAGTGGTTTTGCACCTCTCCTGGAAACCGCCCCCCTACCCTCTCAGGGTGGGTGGGCTAGACCCAAGCTTGGTCCAAGCTGTCTGTTCCAGCTGAGCAGAGCGGCATGCTCTAGCATCCCCCTAGCTTCTGGCCTGGGCCACTGCAGTCACGTGGCTGCATTTCCAGAATCCAAAGCAAAAGTTTGCTCACATATTTATCGGTTCAATCTATGCAGCTTAGACTAACCTGCAAAGATTGAATCAATTCAGCCTTGGGCTTTTTGACTCTCTCTACTTGGCCTTAATCTCATTGCCTCATTGTAGTTGCCCATAAAACAGACAAATTACTTCATTATGCATGAAGTATAAGCATTACATAATAGAGTAAAGATATAAATATATTGTACTTCACATCATTGTGGGCATTAAAGTAGGGTTAGCAAAAAGATTGCAATATATCACAGTTTCATCATTCATTCAATCTGAGCAATGATGCCAGCTATCTGGGTTCAGAAATTCATAGGTAAGGTTTTAGGGAAGAAAAATAATTATATTTGGGATTAATAAAAAGTTCAATTTGCCTCCTATTACCTAAATCTTTAGAGCAGAGGGGTAGTTAGCCGTGTTAGTCTGAAGTCAGGCAGAAGACAGGGTAGATGTGTGCCTTATAGGCTAACTGAATCAGAGATAAATTAGCTTTCCTGAGCAACATCTCGCTTTATCAGATGCATCTGGTAAATGAGCTGTTGCTAGCAAAAGTTTATCCATCTCCGATTCAGTTTATTTAATCAGAAGGCAGGGTAGAGATGTACCTTGTGTGTGGCTGGGTAGGGTTAATCAATGACTTCCCCCCCTCAGGGACTCTCCTGCCACACCTTTGTTGTTGGAAAAATGAAATAAAGTTGTTAATCCCTGATAAATCAGATAGTTAATTACCCAGTTGTAAAATAGAACAAAAATGGTTTTATTCAGTTGCTCCATTACAATCGCCGCCCGTGGCTGTTTGTCTCACGGCTCAAGGCTTCACTTCCCCGTTTATTTTATGTTGCCATCAGGGAGGTTCTGTCCTGAGCTCTCCTCCTGTTTCTTCCCTCATTTGCAGGTCCCCATTGCCTACCTCAGTCTTCCAAGGAACTCCCTCCGTCAGACTCACCAGGCAAGTGATCGCCATGCGACTTCCCGGGGAAGTACGGGGATCACACCACAGTTTGTCTCACCCGGCGCATGAGGCTCCATTTGTTCCAGCTCCATGTCCCAGGCGTTCTCAGCAGTGCTAGCCTCTTTGCTTGTTTCTTCATGTGCCACTGGGGGCAATCTGCCACCCACAATGTCCTCTCCTTTGTAGCCCCAGACCCTCATCTCCTGTGTCTGTCTCCCCAGTGCGTAATGAGGCACAGCTGTGCATTCAGCCAGCATTCTTTCCCTTTCCATGACCCGGTTCCTTCCTCCCCCTCTCAGGAGAGGAACCCTACTAAGGAACAGGGTTGACTATCACCCTGTTACATTATGGACTATTAGAGTACACATAGGTCACGTTTTTAAGTTTCTCTCTGCAACTGGAAGGATTTCAGCTTAAATTAAGAATAAAAGACTCTAGATCAGTGCTTCCCAAACTTTTCCTCAGCATGACCCCAATTCCTCAGCATGGCCCCTCACTCCTAACCTGCATCCCCCTGGCCCTGCCAGTGCCATTCATTCCCAACCTGCAGCCCCTCACTCCCTCCAGAGCCAGGGCCTGCAGCCCCCTGCCCCACTTCCCAGCAGCACCCAAGCCCTGGCTGCTGCTTGCAGTAGATGGCAGCTGCTGTGGCCAGAGTGGAGTGTGGAGCCCAGCTCGCTCCCCTGCCCCACCACTGGCTCCTCCCTTGTGGACGGCACAGCCAGAGCAGAACCCATGGTGGGGGGGTAATGCAGGCTGCCTGCTGAGGGCTTGGGGCTCCCTGCCCTGCTGCCCTCCTCCAGGGGGCTCCACTGCCCATCAGGCAAGAACTGATGCAGGATTAAGTGCCACGCCACCATTGCCACCAAGCTGAGGCACTCCTTGCCCACCTGGCACCAGTGGGGGCACAACTCCATACTGCCACACCTCACCTTGGCAGACATGACAATGCAGCTCTCTCCTGCACTGGGTCCAACCCACTGGGCTGCAGAGGCGGCTCCTGCCTGGAGCTGGTCCAGCCCTATTGCAGCTGTGTGCTCTGCTGTGGGTGCAGAAATCTCATAACTCCAACCACTGATATTTTGACCCCATTTGGAGTCTTGATCCACAGTTTGGGAACTGCTGCTCTACATTCCAGCAGCTTTAAATCTTCATTCACAAGAGGTGGCCACATTCACATTACTCTTTTCTTCTTACACCTGTTCTCCTTTATCTTTTAGATCAAGTTTAGGTGGCTCTCTCTCGTAGGACAAGAAGCATTGTTTGCATTGTCCACATCCACTATGATATTTACTGACTGAGATAAAAATTGGTTATCAAACCAGAAGTCTTGTAGAAGTCCACTGTATTTAGGAGACACCAGAACTCTTATACATAGCAGAGATAAAACTCTTTTCCTGGCAAAGAAAGACACAATTGTATTAGGATGTGTTGTCCATTGCAAAAAACAGGCACAGACTTAAAATTATTTTACAAGAAGCTGTTTTGTGCTTTGCAATATTGTCATACAATTCCTCATGTAATTTGTTCCGTTTCTTGCAAAAAAGTTGAGTTTTCAATATTAGTACTTCTGCATTATAGACTCATTCCAGATTTTCTATAAATCTTACAGGAAAATATTCAGTAGCTCTCTTCCAGAACTTAATGAAATCTCTAAGTGTCGGCTAAGTTAAAATGGGGGGGGGGGGTTTCGATGACCTACTGTGTGAGTTTCTGTTCACCTGGTTTTTGCCCACATTGAGTTATATGACAGCACAGGGGACTTCCCACACAAACAACAGTTTGTTCAAGCTCAGTGAAGGAGTAAAGATGGGGACCACTGTACTCTGAATATCCAGCCACTTTCTACACACACAAGCTGCACCAACTTACACCTACTCTAGAAATATGCATGGAGCCTGAGGGGATCTGGCAGAGCAAATGTGTTTAAGATAATCTTGAATTCCACCTCCCTCCCCCAAACACACATATGAAGTTAGATAAGCCCTTTACAATTAAGTGATAAGAAGCTCACTATGATAATCTATAAAAATAAGAGTAAAAAATCTCAGAGGGCACGTCTACACATGCACATGAATAAACTCTGGAGCTTATTGCTCAGAGTTTTTTGCTCCCAGGTGCACCATTTAAAAGCGTGTCTGGGAACAATTAACTCTGGAGCACTTAGCTCCAGAGTTTATTCATGTGCAGCACGTGGAGCCCAGTTGGAGCAGCCCCAGCTGGCAGTGGGTCTGAGGGGTCAGTCTGCCAGCTTGGGGCTGCTCTGGCCAGGCTTACATGTGCTGCAGAGGGGCTGGCTGGGGCACAAGGTTGCTTCAGTACAGGGCTAGCCAGCAGGCAGGCCCCCACACTGAAGCACCCTTACGCCCCAGCCAGCTGATTCATTTTCTACACATATGCTGCTGTGCATGAAAAAACCCCCAAAACAACAACAACAACAACAAAAACCTATGGAGCAGGGTAGGACTTGTAAATACAAGAGAAAAACTACAAGTAAATACAAGTCCTACCCTGCTGTGGAGTTTAGTATGCATCCTAAAGTGCATGTGTAGATGCTGAGATGTTTACTGCAGTTAATTAGTCAACTGTGCAGTATGTGTCTCATGTAGACACATCCAGAAACACCTAAAAAGAGTTAGGAGCTATAAGCCACTTCTCCATGAAGGCTACCTCATGAACCAGAAGTAGTATAGCCCTGTTTACATGATGAAGTAAGCAGGCCAATTAGGATGGGATAGGGTACTTAGCCCACACGTGCACAGCAGGGGGCAGGATTGTGGGATCAGGCATCAGATTCCAACACACGTTATTGCTGGTGCAGGCAGAACATAGGGTTACAATCATGGGCTCCCCCCACACTGGCTAGTAGCACAATCACCACAGCTGGGAGCCCCATCAGCTGATCCAGGCTTTTGGCTGCAGGGGTGGATCATGTGCTCCCGTGACTGCATGTCCAATCAGCTGATCCAGGCTCTTGGGGGTGCATGGTGCGCCCCTGCAGCCAGGAGCCTACATCAGCTTATGCGGCTCACAGCTGTGCCCCCACAGGTAGGTGCCCCAGCCTGGCTGCACATGCAATTAATGGTGTGATAGGAACCAACCACAAAGTTATTACACATTTTTTGTATAGTAACTTCTTCCTTGTTTTATCATGCCAGTCATTGCATTAACACGTTTTAGGTTGTTACCTGGCCACATGATGAGCTGGTTAATCATGTCTTAAGTATAATGTGTACCAGGGGCCTTGACCACACTGCAAGCGTGGTATACTTACTGTGTAGATACAGCTTAAGTGTCACTGCAAGTCAATGGCATTTAGACTCTAAATTTATCCAAGTAGACTTATCTCTGTTTTTCTTATGCCATATCCCTATGGATGATCCCCAGGAACATCTGATTTTAACAATGCAATTACATGGCAGTACTTTAAGTTCCACTTACAAATAGTATGGATATATTGAAACTATACTCGGTTTAAGAGGAGAATAAGACCTCTGACATAAAGAAAGAGTCACTGAAGTGGCATCTAGAGAAAGAACATACATTTTACAGATCGGGATTCCCTTTTTGCTGGAGGTTGGGAGAGAATATAGTTAAGATGCTTTGAAAAGGGCAGATTTATAGCAGAAGCTATTTTGGATTTTTCACGTGTACTTGGCATCTACTAGGCAATGAAAGCAAGCAACTTGCTTTTTCCCCCCAGACTCAGCTGGTCCAATATTAGTTTGTTGTAGCAAGTCATATAGCTCATCCCAAAAGTATCCAGACCTCAATAATAATTAATATTTTCACACATGTTTATAAGTTTGTAGTATAATATGACATTGTTAGAGGCAATTACCTTTACTAGTCTTAACTCAGAGTAGGATGGCACCTTAAAGACTAACGTGTTCAGAAAGGTATGCCTACAAGGTTTTGCAACAGCCTACTTCACCAGTACTATGAATGGGCTCTAATGAAGTAGGATGTTACCTATGAAAATTTATGCCTTTCTGAATGAGTTAGTCTTTAAAAGGTACCACCCTGCTCTGCCTTCTCCGATGTGGTAGTGACGGTGGCAATTGTGAAATTCTGTGGAACTGCCTTCAATTGTCTTTCCACATGAAATTTTCATTTCCAATACACCAAAGCCACTTAATATTTTTCTTTTTTGCTTTAAATTTCTCCACTTACATTCTTGCTTCAAGGGTGTGGATTAGGGGAAAAAACTATTCTTTAGTTCACAAAACAGTGTGCATACTATTACCTTATAACTAGATATAGGCTGTTGGACATTCCCCACTGCCTTGTAACTCCTGCAGTAAATTTATATCTCTGGAGAGGTGGGGTGAGGGGAAAACAGAAACAGGATTTTTCACCTTTTTCTCTGCCTTATCCTCTAAAATGCATATATTTCCACTGGTGTAAGTGGAAACTTGTGTCTCCTATGCACAGTAATGAGCCAAGTCCCAACCATATGCCTCAAATGCCAACTAGAACTTCTGGTGCCATCCATGTAGCTCTGCTCTGACTCGATGCATCTGCTGACTGGGAGTATTGTAGAGTCCAAGTACTTGGAACTGGAACTTCACATCTATTTTTTTTTTAATTTCACATTCCAGGTCAAATTAACCAAATTGGTTCTGAAACCTATAGATTGAATAGAACTCAATTGTTCAAATTCATGTGGTGCTACCACTGGCAAGTATTCTCATTTCCAGGCTTTTCAGTCTGGGGCACCAGATATTTCCAAAGCCAAGGTAGGCAACCTATATGCAGGCTGGAGGTCTCGGGGTTCAGATGCCCCTTGAGTGTCACTTGCCCTCAACCAATGGGCCATAGGAGAGAGCTAGGGGGAAATCCCCCATTTCCGTAAAATAGGTGTCTAGCCAAGATGTCTCATAGGGGGACCTGCCCGCAGTGTAGGGACAAGTCTCCACTCTCTACTACACATAGTCATTCAGAGGTCAGAAAGAAGGGGATCTTCCTTTCCAATCACAGCAGCAAACCACCTAGACTGATACCATGGTATCTCCCCTGCCAGGTAAGTTCATATCTGAAGGTAGTCAGGAAGCTATACTATCCAACAAAAAATTAAATCAAAACTTGAAACAGAAGGGACAGTGAAGAGGTGTGGAACTCTTCACTTACTGTGAGAGATCAAGATGGAAGGGAACCTAGGGGACTTGAAAAACCAAGATCTGTATGCCTTTGAGATATTCTATCTAAAAAGGGCATCTACTGCATTTTTGCCGACTGGACTGTATCCTGGATAAAAGTGTCTTAATAGAATAGAGCAAGTGAAGAGTACACCCTTCCCTTGAAAGAATTCTTCTGCTTTTAATTTTTGTCAAATGATCTATCCTTTAAAACTTTACAACAATCATGCTGGGCAACTGAATATAGTTCTAAATGATGCTCATTAAATCGTTTAGACTGACTTTAGTGCAAGGATGCATTCTAAGCATATTTCTAAGTGCTGTATTCAGAAAGAGTCTTTGCTTTCTAAATTACTTCTACTCTGTGTAGAAGAGAATTTTGTATCAAACAGTGGTATAAGTGTTACTTCTTTGGTGTAGGGTGTTGATTTTAGTAAAAGCAGTGAAAGGAGAGATGACAAGGGAAAAAAAAAAAGGTCAGCTGCAAGTCATAATCTGGAATACACACTGGCTATGTTTCAATGCATTTAAAAAAAACCAACTGGTGCCAATTTGGAAATAAAGCCAAGCCAAGGATATCTTTATTTCAGAAATAAAGGGAGATGGTTTTGGAAAATGGACAGTCCGAGGGTCTGACTTCAGTACCCTTTCCTCTATGTATTTTTCCTTATGAGCAAATTTTTCTACGTAGGTGAGGAATGGCATTCATCTTCTGCCTGCCTCCTTTTTTTTTTTTTTTTTTTTTTTTTTTTAAGTACACAGACAGTAGTTGAAGAAAGCCAGCAGGAAAGTGATCCACAAACACTTCAGCTGCTAGAAAACAGACAATTTTTCAAGGGCTGTTTAGTTGCTACTGTTAGAAGATTGAACTGATGTCTGTCTAAACCAGACCAAACCCTTACCAAAGAAGAAATAAAAGCAACAAGACTATACATATTGGGTGACTACTGATAGGAAGTGGATACATTCTGAAAGTTTAAGGAATTAGCTTGTTGAATTTTGTCTCTTCTTCTGTTTGTGGGTAGAGTGGCAGGTGCTTCAGTTTATTCATAATACAACATCTTATAAACTCTAAAAGGTCTATTGCAGAACACAGCAAGACATAATTACAACTGTATCCATTAAACAGGCAGTGCATTTTGTAAACATTTCTACAACACAACTGCCAGGAACTTAGTACGGCAGGACACATTTCCAAATGAAAGAGTCAAACAGATTTGAAGAGACACCCCGAATTCTGAATAGGGCCTGGTGACAGCCACCCTGGCTCTACAGGTAAGTGAAATCTGTGACAACGACAGAATGGGAACTCAATGAAAAAAATTACAAACACATTAATCCTACTTCAGTACCCTTCAACTGAAATGCCACTTTTGAGACAAGCCGACTTTGAAGTAAGAGATTTGACTTTGACAATTGACTTTGTCAATCAACCAGCAGTCCTCCCCTCCCTCCTATTAATTACCTCTTACATTCACTATCCCTTCTCCAGAATCTACAAAACATTTATCGGTCTCCTTAATAAGCAGCAAGTTTCAGCTTTGCCCCTCATAACCCTCTGCTGTGGGGTATGCATAAATACATTTTCAAAAGGAAAAATACCATTACTGGTTTTCACTTTTACGTTTACACTAAACAAGGCTATGGGCTGTAGTTCAAGGCCCCATTGAAGTGAACACACTTGTATCTTTCCATCAACAGACTGGCCTGCTACAAAGATAGCATACAAAGCCTGAAGAGAATGCACTGGCTGTTGAAACTGTACCCTGCACAAGCCCATGCAGCTTCCCAAAATATTTCTTACCTGTTAACTGGAAAACTGTTCCGGGAAGAAAGGCTCTTTTATACAAACAGGTTCCTTACCTCTCACGCCACATCTCTTCAGGTTTGGTATCCAGGTCTATTAAGCCTGTTGAAAATTACCAGTCTGAGCGTTTGAGTAATTTCCTTAAATAATAATGTATCATGAATAACACACACTGGATTGGGGCTGATCCAACTTGTAGACAGAAAAATCCTGAATATTCCAGAGGAGTAAATCAATCAGAATTAACATTCTGCAGCCCCCAGACAGGACCCCATACAACTTACTCTCTTTTGCTGGATGTTCTTATTCGCCTTCTTCAGTAGGTGACCCCAAACAAGTTTGAACTCTCCTTCAGACTGGACATAAGCAGGGTTTGAATTATACTTTGACTCTTGGGGGTGAGAGGTCTGCAAAAATAATTAAACTAGTTCATTAATTAAGAGGTCCACCTAACTGAAGGAGCAGTCTGATTGGAGACCACCCAGGTTATGATTTTCAAATTTTACAGGAGGGCTCTCATGTCTTATGGGGGGGCTCAGTCCCCCAAACTACTATTTAATTCACACCCTGGACATAAGCCATGCTTTTCCAGGCATAGCTTTCTATTCCTCCCTCTTGTAACTAGCCCTCAAAAAGTTACTCAGCTGAGTAGAAGTAACAAGACCCACTTGGGCCTGGCAGCTTAGCTGAACTACCAAAATAGGCTGGTACTCTCCCACAGCTGTTGATACTTCTCTCAAATGGGGAAGTAGAACTAGGGTTAGGTCTTTCCTCACATGGCTTTACACCTTGTACCCACTGTTACAGGAACTTTCTCCTCCACTGTCACCAATCTGCTGCTGCGGGCTCCCCTGCTACTTCTGTGTATATCCCTTTCTTCATAACTGCTGTTCTTTTAGAGAGGATGAATTAAGAAGAGTTCATCTTTTGTCTGCATGACTCCTCTCTTCCTTCCTCTGAAATAAAGATGTCTAGTTACAAAGAGGCCAAAAGCTGTGGGCTGTGAATCTTATAAAGTTCTGACCTTTTTGATAGAGCTGTTGTCCTGAAGTGGGATAGACCCCAAAACCCTTATCTGAGCCTTTTCTTGATCTGCATTAGAGGACTGGCTGTTTTAGACCAGAATCAATTGAAAAAGGAAGCAGGGGAATGCTAATTTATAGTTTGCATTTAGAATTAAACCTTGTGCTGTTGTTTTCCAAGGAGTAATTTTACTTAGGAATTACACAGATTGTAAGACTGTATTTTCTCCCATTATATTTACCATCTCAGAGCAGAAATACTGAGAGAACATTTAACTTCAGATATTTGGAGATAGCCATTTTACAGCAGGAAATAGGGTGGCTTGCCCCCATCCAGAATGGTGCATACAATTCTAGTTACCCATTTGCAAGAAAGATAAACTTAAGCAGGTAAAGAGAAGAGCAAAAGCAGGCCTGTTTTCTAAGATGAATTAAGAAGACCTTGTTTTCTAAAATGAATTAAGTCTCTTTTTGTCTCCTCCCCTATGATAAAGTTGAGAAGCAAGATGATTGCTCTTAATTAATATAAGGGGAAAGGAAGTTAATGATCAAGGAAGTTAATGATCAAGGCAGTCCCAGGGGGCGCTGCTGCTATGTAGGGAAGCACCATGGCCCCCCCTGCAGCTCAGGGCCCACAGGCAGCTCTCCCCCTGGGCACGGGAAAGGCAGGCAGGCTCCGAGAAAAAAAAAGGGATCAGGCCTGTTACCACTTCTTTTTTTTTTCCTTCGGCAGAGCCTGCCCACTTGGTGGCAGGGGGCTCCAGTGCTTCATTCTAGCTTTAAGTTGCCTGAATAGCTGTTTGAAATGCCTCAGGATCTATAATAATAACAGGCTTGTTCTGTCTGTCCGAAGCACTCTGGTTCTTTCAGTAAGCATTGAGATTGGCAGCAGAAACAACAAATCGGAGTGCTCCAGACAGACAGACTAGGCTTATTATTATTATTATAGATTACCTGGAAGGTCTTTGATATAGAAGATACTTATCACAGAGGCAATCTGAGTTCCTAATCAGTCCATCGTACAACACAGGATGCTGGGACTTTCATTTTGCCTCACTTCTCTCTCAGAGGTCCAGGTGGGATCTTAAAAGCAACCAGAGCTAAATAAGAGATCTTCTAAGGTGAGCAAAATTCGTGTCTTCACAGCGGCAGACCTCTAGAAAGTATCTGGCTGTGATTTTAAGAGAGTTTCTACTAGAGTTTCCATCTAGGAAGATGTGGGGCTTGTTTATTGCATTGTATAGGATGCAGTTCCAAAATAAGGACTGGTTATTGTTTTCTGCTTCCAAAATCAAAATGTAACATATGGGATTTTGAGAAGCCTGACTCTGTTCCATCATCCCATTCCCTAGCTTCAGTAGCTTGCTAACAGTTGCTCCTCCACCATGTGGAGGGGAGAGAGAAAGACAAAAGAGCTCCCCAGACCTGTAAGCTTCTTCATTAACATGCCTCACAAATGCATTTGCCATATATGGCCATCAGGGTGAACCAAGGCAAGCGTTTTCCCAGGAAGGAAATGTCTGATCCCATGTTCTACAGCCATACGGAGTAGAGAAGATACCAACCCGTTTGGGACTGACAGCCATTTTTAGGGGGTGTGGACCAAAAGTCGAATGGAGTTTTCTGAGCCAGCAACTGCTCCTTTTACAGGGAAAACAACATTATACTAATAGTCCAAAACAAAATACTGTGTACTAAAAGAAATTCTTGTTAAACCATGCTTTGGTGCACTGAATAGCTTGAACCAGCAACCAGAGTTCCCTAACCTATCATCTTTCTAGTCTGTGTCATCATAAGACTGAAGATAAAGATTCTTGATTCGTTACAGAGAAACCACACACTATCTGTAGGAGGGCTGAGATGAGTCTCACTACTTGGGGTTTCTGCAGAACTCAGAAATGTTTAGTGAATTAGTGACTTCTTGTTCCCTTCCCAAGACAGATGAACTCAGGGGCTGGCACAAGACAGTATGATCTATTGCTCTGCTATTGCGGACATAACTGTGAGAACATTCTCTCCAGATGAGTCAAACAGAATCCACGAAGGCTCAACTATTTGTAGAGTTACCCATGTTTGACCTCACAGCTCCCTTAGCAAACAGAGGGGTTAATGGCTTTGGAAGGTAAATGTAAACAAATAACAGCGAAACTGTTGGTGGCTTGTCGACAAATTATATGCAGTATCAATATATTAATTATTTTGTACATCTAGAAGCCAGAGTGGGTGTAGAAGGATAGAATGCAAAATATTCAGCCAGTTCTCAGTCATCTTATGATTTGAAATTCAGTGCAATTTCTATTTAGCAGCATGAAAAGTGCTATTGGGAAGTAGAGAAGAAAAGGATACAAAAAGGAATAGGGAATATTAGCTTTAAATCCAAGTCCCAACATAAAACATGACCATACAGTTCATCGATTAATTACTGCAATGTAAGAAGGCCCCAAATAAGACAGGTTAGCAAGAACAGTAAAGTAGATTAGTAGGGCATGTCCCCACAAACACCTCAAAGCCATTTAAGGCACCACAAACCTCACATGGTGCACGTGCACCTGTACGCCATGCTAATCTGTAGTATGATGGGTTTTTTTGACACTGGGAGATCCTGGTGTCAAAAAAACCCAACACTAAAAACATGGCACAGTGCATGTGGCAGCAGCGTGTGCCACCAGAAGCTGGAGTCTGGGTGGCCAGAGCCATGCTCCAGCTGTCAGCCAGGCTCCAAGCAGCTGGCTCGGCACCTCTGCTGCCCTGAGAGGCACCCAGGACACCAGGTAAGGCTGCTGGGGCCAACACAGGTGCTGCCCCCAGCCTCCCCTACCCCACCCCACCTGGGTCCCTATGCTGCATGCCAGACCACGAGTGCAGGGGCACGCGTGGGGACACATAACAGCAGCACAAATATATGCCGCTATTTGTCCCATGGGAAATGTGCATCTCTACATATGTGCGCTTGTGGGGATGCACCTGTACTGTTTATAGATAGGTGCTTTGTAGTGACTAAGACCAGAGGTATTCTGCTTAAGTGGTAAAATGGTCAAAAGTTTAAATAGCAGGAGAAATTATCTAACAGGAAAATCTATTCTAATCAAAGAGCACAGAGTGCCTATGATTCCCATCTGATATAAAGTCATAACACACTGCTTTTAATAAGCAGATATCCTCTAGATCTTAAAAGGCATGAGCAACTTAAAATGGGTAATTTAAAACAAAATAAAGTTGGATTGCCCAAGTCAGACAAGAGCTGAATGCCCCCTTAAGTATCTTCCTGCCATTTTAAGATTTAAAATCTAGTTTTGTCCCTGGCTTATTTATCAGGCCAGTCCAGGGGCACAACATTTAATTGAAGAAATTGTGATATTACAGAATTCCCCAAATGTTCATATTCAAGGGTTTGTCTTATGCTATTAATTCTTTTACATTGATGTATTAATTTTTTAGGGTTTTGTAAATCTTATTTTATGTTTTGGGTCTCACGTGTGCATGGAAATTCCAACAGCCACACTTACTCTTTTCACTCCAGGGCCAAAACCATCTTTGGAATTACAGCTGGAGCTGAAGTCTCAGCCCATAGTTTATCACAAAAGAGCTTCTCCTTGGGCACCTCAGACTTTTTGATGGAATGTAGCTGTACTAGTTCACAAAAAGAGTCAGTTTAAATCAGAATGAAACCAAATATTTCCAGAAAACTGGAAATTGAGGAAAAAAATATTAATTTTAGAAAGTTTCCAAACCAAAATGTGCTCCCCCTGTCCAGGGTTGCTGAGAGAAACTGAAATTCTTTTGACTATAGCAGTGATGAATACTGACAAAAATGTTAGTATGATTCACCACCTTCCAGGGATGACAGGTCTGTGCCTCCATGGCAGGCTCACCATGCAAACTACCCTGAGCCAGGGACCCCACAACTTCATACTTGCAGGCATCTGCTGAAAATATCAATTTCAGTGAGCAGCTCCATGGTGGTGAACCTGGAAACCCTGAGAGTCCCCAGCAGTCTGCTTACCAGGGCTGCCCTTTAAGGCAACAGGCCCTGAAAGCATCAGGATTTAAACCAATTTGGGCAAAACTTTTCCAATCCAACTAACTCTATTCAGTAAGGATTTGAAGGTGTAATGTTAGTATATGTTATCCAGTTCATTCCAACCAGTATCTTCTAAAACTGTAGTCAAGACAACTTGATTTTATTTCAGAACATACTACACTGGTTGAATTAAAAATCTGGATTAGCCTTTTTAGCCTGCCTGGTGAGGGAACTGCCATTGTATCCCTCTCCATCCCATTTTATCACTGTCCTGTGCAAGCTCCTGCTCCATTCACTTTCTCTATCCATGTTGCTTCTTCCTCCAGCTTCTCCTAATCCTTGACTTTCTCCTTTAACCCTTACACTCATACTCAAATTTTCCCCCTCCTCTCCTCCTCATTTGCCACATTCAGTTGTCAGATATATCTTCAAGACAGTTGGCAAGAGCACTACTAAAACAAGAGAGGTTCCCTGTCTCAAAGAAATCCCCTTTGCAGCACAGCTGCCCCAGTTTCTCTTTGCAGCATAAGTGCCTGGATTGTCAGATGTAATTTCTCTGACCTACATTCCACGCACCAGCTGTGTGCTTTCTCTGATAGACCAGAAAGAGTGAAAACTCAGCTGGACTTCAAGATCCAGAAAAAAGGTAGATCCAGGTCCTACTTTAAATGCATCTCTCTCCTTGTAACTTCCATTCCTCCTCTTTGCTGCATATCAGCAACTACAATCCCTTCACATCCCCTTAAAACATTGTACCTACAGCAATGGATCTGGGACCAAACAGCAACAATTAAGGTCAGACTGTGTCCAGTTTTACTCAGAGTGGCTGTAATATTATCTTTTGATGCACATGAACAGGCATGTATGCTTTCAAAACCAAGGCAGTTACACTTTCAGTTCTTCATTAGGTGCAAATATTATGTAGATTTTTTGCACTCTTTTGTATAAGAGGTATATTTCTTATTGTAAGTGTTTGTTTAAAGATATGTTTGATTTTCAAGGCTAAATGCAAGCCATCTGCCAAAATTTAAATTAAACTCTTTTACTTCAGTGGATGAGATTTCACTCTCAGAAAACACCATTTCCTTGCCAGCACTATGCTGCTCCCAATTTTGATCCTGTGCCTTCATAGCTTTTAAGTGCTTACATTTCTATAGAACCTTCATGTCTAAAGGCTTAAAATTACCAGCTCATGGTCATGAGGAAGCCTCCCACACGCTCCACCACAGAGAATAACACTGTGCAGTGGGGTGCAAAATATAGTAATGTATACTGTATTATCTGGTTCTGGCCATTGCTGAATTGTCAGAGTTTTTTTTTCCTTCCGGTTTGTCAGTTTTATGTTCCCATCCGATAAAGATGCAAATTAGTTGTTATATCAATGTATAAATTAAATGCACTTGTTGCCATAAATTGAAAACTAAATAGTCAGTTTATTATTAAAGAAACTTTACTACCTTTTTTCAATTTAACTTAACACTTTTGAAATACAAATAAAAAACCAACAATGAAACACTTTGCTAACTTCTACAAAAGGATCTAAATAACAATGCACATACATCATTTACATGATTCACTTTCACAATAAAATAAGAGAGCTTAGGTCAATATTTACAATATTGACAGAGGTCATAGTCTGACAGCCAACTGAGGCTGGTGCTGTCTCTTGTTATTGGCTTGCTAGAATATCAAAGTCCAAATCCTGCAGTTGGATCTGCCTGGGCAAACCCCTTTACCTGACACAGAACCCCACAGATGTCATTGGGGCTTTGGGTGACATAAACCACATGGCTCCAGCTGCAGGATCAGTTCTTGAGAGACCAAAATGTAGCAAATATTTGTGTTTTCATCATTAAGCTGCCATTATAGTACCTGAACACACTTGGATTAAATATTTAATGCATCCCCTGACTTAGAATTCTACTTTCCAACTTGAGGCACTTCATTATAAAGGCATTTATTTGTTATGGCTTACACAAGAAAATAGTCAAATTCCACCCTAGGATATGTGTTTGTTAAATTCAATGAGAGCAGCATGTACACATCCAAGAGCATATTCTGACCCAACATCTGGTGCTTATCTACAGGAGAAGATTAGGGCATGATAATTTACATGAATCCTCAAGGATATGTTCTATTATGATCTAATCTTCTAGGGAAGACAAAGAGTCAGTGTACTTTAAGGCTTATATCTACAGCCCCATCCAAATTACTGACACTTGGGGTATCTCCATGTAGAATAACTTAACTACTTGAATCCAAACTATTTCAACATGCCATTGGGTGGCATGTCCCCCATATATGATTGTCTTAAGGTACACAGCATACTGACAGATTATATACATAGCTTAACATGTACAAAACAAGATCACATTCTAACAAATAATAAATATAGATCAGAGTACAAGACTAAACTAAAAATAAATTAGAAAGAACCTTTTGCTATTGACTTTCCTTTTTTCCTCTCATTTAGGGCCCAGACCAAAGACCATAAATGTCAATGAAAGCTTCTCCATTGACTTCAAAGGGCTGTGGATAGGGCCCTTAATTAGATTACAGCTGTTTGAAATGCAGAAATTTAGCTAGCCTGACAGCTGTTTGTTATCTATATGACCAAACTTACCTTAAAGGGAGCATTTGAGGTAAAGACAATTGGACCAAAATTTTAATATTGCATTTATTAGGCAGAAAATAGTTCTTGCCGATTGTCTTTATCACTTAATTCAGCAGCAAGGAAATAAGAATACAACTAACTATAGGAACACCACGTATTCACAAGACAAATACGTATTAGTGCACACAGTTGTCCAAATTTTACTCTTTAAATAAATGTGGGTTGATTTGAGAATGACTAATTATGCACTTAATAAAAATTGTCTCAAGACTACAGCTAATCTCAAAACCAAAAAAGTTAACTGCATGTTGATATGAACAGCTTATTTGACAAAACTGTCAAGATGGCCAGGAAAAAAAATCCTCAGATCCAAATACCCCCAGAACACTGAGAACTGTGGAATCCAGGTCAGAATTAGTTGGTTTGGGCCATTTCTGCCAAACTGAAAAGTATTCAAATATATTTATTTATTTTTTTTAAAAGGGAGAGCAGTGAAATTTGCCATATGAGAATTGCACTCATAAGGTCCCTATGATGCAGTGTTTACTGTAAGAAGCATAACTCAGTTGCTCTACACCAAAGTAGTGCAGTACTTTGCCTGCAATTTACTTTGCGTCTCTCTTTTCCCCTCCCCAACACTTCATTGTGGATTCAGTATTAAGTTACTTAACAGCTAGAAAGTCTGTCTCAAACAGAAACTCTTGGTCTACATGGAGGGTGGTGTGACAGGAGTCCAGGTGGATGCTAGCCTTGCATGTGTTGAGGTATCATACTGGCTGTCAGGAATGTCTGTTGGTGTGCCGCTGTCAAACAATGGAGATCCTGAGGAGGAAGCTGTGACGGAGTGAGGGAGGGGTGGGTAGTGCGCTGCAGAGCCACGCAAAAACTGGGAGCTCAGTCCATTGGACATCCCACTGGACTGCGATACCGGTGTGATGGTGCTGTTACTAACAGACCACAAGTTGGGATACTGACTGTAAGAGAGAAAAGAACTGCAAATAATATGGATTATTAATGACCCCAGCTTTTCCTGTCACCAAATAAGACGCATTACAGATTCTTCAAGTTCTTTGCAGAGTTTCCTGCCACTGCAGTAAAGTAGAGAAACCTTTTAAATTAAATTTGCATATTATATACTGATGCTGCAATGGGTGTGCTATGAAAATAAGAATTGAGCCAAATCTTCCCAGCCACATGCCATCTTAAAAACATTGTTTTACCTTAGAGAGAGAAATAAAAAAGGTTCATCTGTAAGATGTCTTTGCCGAGAATAAGTTTAACCTCTATTTAATATTTAGTTCTTACATAACACTTTTCACGCAAATTAACTGACAAAGGAATTCCTCCCCCCCCCAAAAAAGAAGGGAAAAAAAAGATGCTGCTTTTTTAAAAGGAAGTATTTCTTCTAAAAAGTGGCCTGCATCTTAAAGTCCAGTAAAAAGCTCATGTATGCACCACAGATGCATCTTTATTTGATGTCTTTTTTTTTTAAGTTTCAAAATCATGAAACTGGAGAGTGTCTTAAATAAATTCAAGGTAGCTTTCTATTCAATGGAATACAGTAAATAATATCCCCAGCTTATCCCCACAGGTATGGAGTCTAGGCACCAAAATTATGTGAATTGCCCAATGTTCCACTGCAAATCCTTGGCAGAGCTAAAATAAGAACCCAGGTCTTTTATCTCTTAGTCCTGGGCCCTTGATTTGCTGGAATTTATGGCCTCCTGAATGCTTGGAAGAGCAGGAAGGAGAAAAAAAATGATGTAATTTCAATTAACTTCTGGTCAGTAAAATAAGTATCTTGTACTTTATGTAAGTCCCGTATACAATACATTATTAAGATATAAATGAGAAATTTAACATTTCTTTAAGCAGTATTTTCTACAGTTCATGTATATTAATTAGCCAGCTATTTAGACTTCAGAGCTGAACTGTGAATTGCAAATCAAAATGATAATCAAATCCTGCCCCCACTGAAGTCAAAAGCAAAAATTTCACATACTTTTTCTGACTCCCCCAGTGGTTTTGTCTCCCAGAGACTGACTGCAATTTAACCCTCTACCATGACAAAGACAGCAAGTATCATCATAAATATAAAGAGAGGTGACACACCCATGAGTTCACATAAAGGCAATAACAATGTGCTGTTACTTAAAGGGCCACTACCAGCTTGAATACACCTTTTCTGAATCTTTTTCAAAATCTATTATTGCTAAATAATAGGTTAAACAACACCTAAGAGTTTCTAAAACTGAAAGCTAAAAAATAATCACTCCCTGTCTGATTTGTTTGCTTTATACATTTGACACCTCCTGCTGTCTAAACATTTTTATAGTTTCTCCTGTAGCATCAGTAATTTTTGCATAAGTATAAGGCATTTTAGTATTTAAGCAACCAAAATTTAAAAAGGCAGGCATAAATATAACAGAGTTCTGTTGAAACAGATGTGGTATATGAAATTACTTTTAACTGTTTAAAAACTAACTAGATTCAAGCTGATAGGGACCCTTTCCTCTCCTTTTTAATTAACAATATATTCTGATTTATAGATATTGGTGCTCCCCCACTTAAGGGCTAATTCCTACCTGCAGCTAGTGGATGTGCCGGTGCCATGACTCATGGGTAGCATACTTGTATGGGTGGGAACTCCTAGACTAGACCAATTGTCATGGGGTTGAAGCATGGAAAGGCAGGCAGAGGAATTATCAGCATAGGCTGCTGTGAAAGACAAGCATCCATTTAGTAAACACATTAGTCATTGTACCAAAAAACAATTCTCATTTTCAATTAAAAGTATGCTTTTTAAATATTACTTTGTATAAAAAAAAAAGTATGCCAATTGTGCCAACTGTCAGTTCTGTTTTGGGGTTTCCCAGTAGCTCCTACACTATGCCACTAAATAAGTCACAGCATTTGGATTGCCAGTCCATACTTCACCTCCCAACTCCAGCAGATCCTGAAGGCAAAGATGCTCAGCTTTTGATTTAGGTGGCTCTGTAGTTTTCACATAATTTACTTAGCTGTGGCATCAGAGGGCTCCAAAGGGAAACCCAGCCAGTAATGTACTGCCAAAACACTGCTGAGGTCTATGAA